ATTCTATTCTATTCTATTCTATTCTATTCTATTCCATTCCATTCCATTCCATTCCATTCCATTCCATTCCATTCATCATATATTTTATCACATTTTTACTTTTCCTCCCAAGAAATCCCAGGAGCTATATATGTCTCCAAACCAGATCTTTTACAGATTGAAAGATCTACACAGCTATTCTTTTCATTCCTGATGTTAACAGCCAGCATATCTACATAGGCTTAATCAATGCCACTATACAGACTAAAACTTTACAATCATTTTCTCCTAATGATACAAAAACAAAATTTATGATACACACACACAGTATGTGTGTGTGTGTGTGTGTGGTGTGTGTATACACATACACACATACATACATACATACATACATACATACTCCACAAGAGCCTAAGAATCATATTCCAATGTCTCCTGTCATAAAAATAAGTCCTAATAAAGGAACCCCAATACCTAATTCAGATTATACCTGCAGAAAAAGCCCTCAGTCCCAAAGGATGCAGATGAATTATTTTGCACACACCACAGATATCCCAAACTGCTGATGCAATTCCTCCAAGTCAAAAACTGCTGAGCTGACTGGTCAAAGATAAAACAAATTTTCTAAACTAGAACAAATGAATGGAGCTTCTTTACACACTCATTTTAGGCTGCACTCAGACTAAATAAGTAGAAATCTCCCAGCAATTCTCTGAATAGCCCTGCAATAACTTCCAAAATTATGTGCGTCGGAGGCCTAGAGCCAAGGGCGCTGATTCTTCAGCACCTCATGGCATACTAACCACAAGAGGGCAGTAGGGTGTAAATAGAGAGTGAAGGATTGTTAGTTTGAATGATTTGTATCAATATGTTACTCTGGACAGTTAACATAGGATTAAAAACAAAACAAGGTAAACAATAAACATAAAACAACCACAGCAACATAATATAAAACAGCACAGAAACCAAAAACACAACATATTCAAAATGCTAAATTAATTTATTCTGCATCCCCTCTTTATCTCTCACTCTGCCTGGTCTTTGTCTAAGACTGTGTTTCTCAACCTCAGCAACTTTAAGGCATGTGGTCTTCAACTCCCAGAATTCCCCAGCCAGCATGCTGGCTAGGGAATTCTGGGAGTTGAAGTTCACATATCTTAAAGTTGCTGAGGTTGAGAAACACTGGTCTAAGAGTTAACTAATCTGAAGTCACTTCCCTCTGCCTTTCTTCCCAGACACACATGCACAGAACAAATGCTCTTGGACTTTCCTGCTGGTAGCATGTGTTAGCCAGGTGCTACATTTTGCCTATCCCTCTACTGTATTTACTCTAAATAAATCTTGTTTGTATTATAGTTATAAAACCTGATTTACTAATCATTGTTCAGGTCAGATTCCTGCTCTCAGGAATATTCGCTTGTTCATGCAGACCACTTCAGCTTCCAACCATGTGTATTTATCATCTATCAAAGGGCTGGGTATAGGAGAAAGACATTAGATCAAACTCGGTTTCACTAACCATTTGCTACCGGGGGTAACTGTGGAACTCATGCAGAATGTCTTGAGTTGCACGGTTGCCCCCAGTAGCAAATGGTTCGTGAATACCAGTTTGGTCCAATATTTAAGACACTGGACTAGGAGCGGGGATCCTGAATTTTAGTTCTGCCTTGGGCATGAAAACCAGCTGGGTGACCTTGAGCCTCCTACTGCCTCTCATTCTTAGGAAGAAGCCAGTGGCAAACAACTTGAAAATGTTGCCAAGCAAACTGTATGGACTTGACTCACCAGGAGTCAAGACTGGCTTAAAGACCCAAACGATTTTATTTAGCAAAAGGCTTGGAACTTTGATCAGAAGGTAGTGGTGGTGGCGGTGGTGATAAGGAATATATTCCTTGGAAACAGAAGCTTTCCTTTGAAAAATGATCTGTCTGCAGCAGCCAGTCTGTGGCCTGCTGAACTATAGCACCCAACATCCCTCATATGTGGCCAGACTGACTGTGACTGCTGGAATTTGCAATTTAGCAATATCTGAAGGGCCAGAGATGATAGATTATAATACAATTATTAAAATAATATTTGTATCAGTGAATGAAAAAGCTTCAGTACTTATCTGCCCCTTGGCCTAATGAACTAGTCCTCATACAGTACTCATGATGTTTGAGTTTGAGGCCTCTGGACTAAATGGTAAAATTCTCCCTCCAGAATGGCCAGTGAAAAGGCCACTAAATTTTATTCATCACTCACCAGGATGGATAAAAGTTAGGTGTCATATTGTGGCATGACTGGCTCATACCCATAACAGTTAATCATTAGTCCTCCTCCAATAAAAGCCCATGAAATCATTCTTATGGTCTTCAGTGCATTTAATGCTTTTTGCACCAAGAAGTTGGTTAAGTGTCCCAGTTCCTTGTCCTGGATTTTTCAGATGGTCTGGATGCATTCAGAGCTTTCCTGAAATCAGAATTCAGTGAAGAAAATATTCTATTTTGGCTGGCTTGTGAGGACTTCAAGAAAACAAAGTCAGCAGCTAAAATTGCTTCAAAAGCCCAAAGGATTTATTCTGAGTTTATCCAAGCAGATGCCCCAAAGGAGGTAACCCAGTTATGAATGCTTTAAAACACTGGTTTCTATTTATACAAGGAAAAAAAATGATTACCTTTATCAGTTTGGATGTCTACATCCCATTGTTATGCATGGTTATGATTCTGTTGGACACCTCGTACACAAAACGGTGACATGATGAAAGAAGCCACTTGTCCAGTTTTGATAGATGATTTCTGTTTGTTCACCCTAAAGATAAGGGCAAGGATTATGAGGATTAGGATGTACACTCTTTAGATCAGTGACTGCTCAGGTTTATAAGAGCTACCGGAAGCTGCTCACCAAGTGGATCAATAAAGTAGGGGTATCTTCTTGCTTTTCTAAGGGAAGCATTTGTAGGGCTTTTCTTTAAAAAGACATTCTCGGGCACATGCCTTAGATAATTATTTTCTGTTTTTTAATCTCCGCTTTCTGAGAAAGGCAGGAGAGCAGATGGTTGCATTAGTATTCCATGCTTTCTTCGATAAAATGATTATTTCTATGGTTCCAACCTGGGTTCGGGGGATGCGGTGGCGCAGCGGCTTAATGACACTGAAAGTTGCCGGCCAGAAATGGCTGACGCTTCGGCG